GATTCTGCTTCCCTCCTGGAGCCTGATTGGTCTTTTCCTGCAGTTGTTGCATTATACGATCCTACCAGCCTAATAGGCTGATTAACTTATTCCTGGAGCCTGATTGGTCTTCTCCTGCAAGCCAATCAGTTGTTGCATTCTAGGATCCTACTTGCCTATTGTTCTAGGATCCAAGGTTAGTACATAACACTACCTAAACTGTATAGAAACTTATTCATGTATGCGACTACAGCGGCAAGAATGTTACTTGCCCCAAAATGGAAAGAAGCAGAAGTCCCAGCAAAGGAAGAATGGATACAAAAACTGATGGAATATGCAGAAATGGCAAGACTTACCAAAAGAATAAGAAATCAAGATAACAAACTTTTAATAAAAGAATGGAAATAGTTTATTGAATATTTACAGATAAATTGTAAACAGATAAGAACATTGGCAGGATTAGTGTAATAACCTGCAGTTTTATAAGAGTACAGTATATATTTAAAGCTGATGAATAAATGAGCAAATTAAGTTAATTTGGATATGCAGAAGATAATAAAAATAAATTTAAGGTACTACAGAAAGAGGGGGAAGGAACATTTAACCAACTACAGGGCCCAGAATTTTTTGAGGGGAAAATTGTGCTTTGAATGTGTTTTATAGTATGTATAAGCATAGGTCGTTCTTTTTCTCTCTCTTTTAAAAAAAAATAAATATGTATGCTTTTCAGGTTTATAAATTTCACTAATTTTACAATCATTTTAACATTTCAAAACTCAACTTCCTTCCCCCTCTTTCTGTGTTAAAATGAACAAAATTAACAAACCAACAACATGTGCACAACCAAAGTTAGTGGTGTAGGGTTTATTCCTTCTGGGAAGCCTGTAGGCTCCCCCACCAGCCATGTGATATACAGTTACTGACTGCGCACTTGTATGCATGAAAGTGGTAACCTGAGCCCAAGTTGCAAATAGGTGCCTCCCTTCTTAGTCTTTTTCTCTTCCTGCTTCCTGGAACAAGTAAGGAGCCATGCGGCTTTGGCTCCCGACTCAGCAAAAGTGCAATCTCTCCAAAAAGGAAGGTCTTAAAGCCTGCATCTTTGCTAACTCAAAGATTGCACAATCCTTTTGTAAAGAAAGCAAGTCTGTTTTTTTAAAAGTCATTTGGAATCTTTATTCGTCTTTGTTTTACTGCCAGCAGATGGAAGATTTGTTTGATGTAACTTCTGGAAACTCTGTGAGTGAAATCTTTGCTTATTTGCAAAGCGAAGTATCTGTGATTTATTTTAGCCTAGGTATTTTGTAAAAAGGCGGATGAGGGCAGAAGTAAATCTAACAAAGTTTTAATGTGCCTGGTAGCAATCGCGATTCTGCTTAACTCAACTACTGAAGAGTAGGAATCTCTCTTTCAAATCTCTCTCCAGTCCACTGAAAAGCTTCCTTCACAGGCTGGTTTTTCTTTGTTACTGTCAGGGAACTGCCATCGGAGCTGGAAAGGCTCCAAAGGGATGGCGGAGAGGGTCCCAGTAGGGAGAGAGGGAGCCCGTCTGCTGGGGAAGGAAATCAGCGTAACACCAGTAGAGAAGGGGGGCAGATGGGGGAATCGGGGAGGAGGCTCCAAGACTCCTCGCCGGAGACCAGCGGAGAGAGTATGGGTACTCCACTGCCCACACCCTCCCTGCGCAGAAGACTTCCGCGCATGGAGAGTAGGAGGAGACTTGGCGTCAAGGAACTTTTGTGCTGGAAGAAGTTTAAGAAACGCCCACTGACAGATTCTGCCAGCGACTGAGACAGTCACGATGCTGGAGGCTGTTCAGTCAGAAAGGGTTAACCAGGTAACCTAGCCAGGAGTGGCGGCAACTTACGCACGAGCAACCCCTAAACCCATTACAGTTACCTATTTTCTTAACAGCTTATGGACATTCTGAGACATACAATGAAATGTTTTAGGAGCTCAAGAGACAACAGCAACAGATGCCAGTCACTATGTTCCTCACAAAGTAAGGAAGAAGCAGAAGCAGCAGCAAATCTGCCCATACAACCCATCTCTGGATATGAACCACAGCTTAGCGCTTCTTCTGGCTTCCGGTCAACCTTCCTGGTACTCATATTATCATCCAATGAGGGAGAGGAAGACTAAGAGCTGCATTTATCCTTCAGTGGTAAGTGTGGCAATTTTTAAAAGGTTTTCTATGGGTCGTTCCAGCTTCACGCTATTTTGGCTTATACATGCGATGACCAGAAACATAACCACCATGTAAGATGAATGGTACCTGTAGATAATAAAACAATCCCATCAATCTAGCAGGTTCTATAATAATTCTTCCTATATCCCTTTCTATCTCCAGACAACAATCCCATTTGGCTTTCAGACTTCCTAATACTTCTGGGACGCGGGTGGCGCTGTGGGTTAAACCACAGAGTCTAGGACTTGCTGATCAGAAGGTTGGCAGTTCGAATCCCCGTGATGGGGTGACCTCCCATCGCTCGGTCCCTGCTCCTGCCAACCTAGCAGTTCGAAAGCATGTCAAAATGCAAGTAGATAAATAGGTACGGCTCCGGCGGGAAGGTAAATGGCATTTCCGTACGCTGCTCTGGTTCGCCAGAAGCGATTTAGCCACATGACCCGGAAGCTGTACGCCGGCTGCCTTGGCCAATAAAGCAAGATGAGCGCCGCAATCCCAGAGTTGGTCACGACTGGAACTAACGGTCAGGGGTCCCTTTACTTTTATCTTTAATACTTCTGGAGCAAATAGCGTTCGCCTCTCAAGTCTTCTCCCCATTACTCAACATGGGCAAAGTGGTTCTAACGTACAAGATTGTGATGTTTATCCTGTCCTGGATGTCTTTTCTTTGTGATGTCTTAATCCTCTAGGCGGCTTTATGTACCCAGACTCTTCTGTCCTGCCCAGATCATGTAGGCGGCCACTAATGAGGCTGTGGGCATCATCATCGGTTGGACTTTCGCAATCACCTTGAAGACAGCTTGCACTGATTTAGTTGGTCCCCACCTGCTGTAACCTGCCGTCTTGTGCAGGCGGGTAAATGTCTATTTCAGCTCAGTCCTGAGTTTTCCAGGTGGCCTTGGAATGCATCCTTGGCCCTCCAGCTGTTTTGGGACTACAATTCCCATCATCCCTGACCACTGGTCCTGTTAGCTAGGGATGGTGGGAGTTGTAGTCCCAAAATAGCTGGAGGGCTAAGTTTGGCCATGCCTGCCCTAGGCAGTGCTCTCTATTCACTTCTTAATGTTGCTTATTTGAGAGTTGTTTAGAGAGGAAAGCAGGAAACATGTAAGAGCAGTTCTGTGTCCAGGGCTTCGGCTTTCGGAAACAGCGTCTGGGCGGAATCCAGACGTATGGTAACCAATGTTGGAAGTGTAGATTTTGGCGAAATTCCTTTAAAATAGCTAAAAAACTTTATATATGGTATATATGAGATTTTGCAAAAAAAAAAAAAAAGAAAGCCAAACTAAAAAAAAAAGCTCACCAGCTTTCGTGTCTGGATTTGCACTTTTTGAAATATGGTAACCCTATCCACAAATGTTTACGTAAGATTCTTATATATGCATACAGTGGTACCTCGGGTTACATACGCTTCAGGTTACATACACTTCAGGTTACACACTCCACTAACCCAGAAATAGTGCTTCAGGTTAAAAACTTTGCTTCAGGATAAGAACAGAAATCGGGCTCCAGCGGCGCAGCGGCAGCAGGAGGCCCCATTAGCTAAAGTGGTGCTTCAGGTTAAGAAAGTTTCAGGTTAAGAACGGACCTCCGGAATGAATTAAGTACTTAACCTGAGGTACCACTGTATAAGGCTAACAGAGCAGGGTTAGCAGAGTCTGTAACCTGAAGCGTATGTAACCTGAAGCGTATGTAATCCAAGGTACCACTGTACTGTGATATGCTTAGGGCCTGGAAGCAAATGTGTTTATAGGATCACCATGTGCCTGAAATATGATATGTTTCCCTGTTCTCTTGTTTTTATTATATATTTTGTGTTCTCATTTTTTATTTTTATGTTGTGAACTGCCCTCTGATCTTTGGATGAAGGGTGGTATGCAAATTTTAAGAAGAAGAAAAAGAAGAAGAAGAAGAAGAAGAAGAAGAAGAAGAAGGAGAAGCCCAGCTTCGGCTGGGGAGGGCGGGATATAAATAATAAAAAAATATTATTATTTTATTATGGGAGGATGTGCAATTATTTTGATTTTTTTAATTTAAAAAAGTCCTAGAGGTTGTATCCAACTAAGTTAAACTCAGAGGAGGCCCATTAACATTAATGAACATAAATTAGTCATGTCTAAAGTTCTGTGAGCCTATTTTGAGGAGGGCTAACCCCAGGGAGGCTCACCTGGCGCCTTAGAGATATATCTTTGGGCACCAGGCAAAAACATTCCTCTTCTCCCAGGCCTTTGGCTAATTAAACAATCTACAGCCTTTAAAACTGTGGAGGGGGTATTATTTTGTTTGCTATTATGTAGCTTTGTGTTTTTCTATTGCAAACCAAAATGTGATCTCCGGTGAAGGGCAGTGTAGAAATTGAATAAATAACAAATACAGTGGTACCTCGGGTTACAGACACTTCAGGTTACAGACTCTGCTAACCCAGAAATAGTACCTCGGGTTAAGAACTTTACCTCAGGATGAGAACAGAAATCGTGCAGCGGCAGGCCCCATTAGCTAAAGTGGTACCTCAGATTAAGAACAGTTTCAGGTTAAGAACGGACCTCCGGAACCTGAGGTACCACTGTAATAAAAATAACCACGCTGGATACAACTTGTGCTTCCCAAGCTGTGGCCATCTGCTTTTAAAGAAAGGACAGGGGCAGTGAACACAACTTGTACCTTCCCTGTACCCAAACCACGTTGTTGTGTCTCTTAAAACCCACCCGCAGCTTCCCACCCAAGACAATTTGCTCAGAAAAGAAACCGCCAGACACAAAGGTTGAGATCCAAAACGAGCTTTATTCTGCTTTGGAATTTGGGGCTAACATAATATCACGGAGCCCCTTGACAGTCAGGGGGAGACCCATCCATGCTCCTGCCAGCGTTGGAGGAGAAGAGGAGGCCGAGTCCATCATGGAAGGGAATCAGCAGACGTTCTGCCCCGCCTCACTTTGTCTTCTCAGCAACCTTGGGAAGCTTGGGAGCCTCGAGAGGACGCTCAGGCAGTTCTGGGGAAAAAAACACCACACACATGTGAACCGGGGAGAAGCACAAAAGGCCAGAGACCCAGAAAGGAAGCAGGTTCCTTGGGCAGCAAGGTGTCAGAGCAGCATTTGCCAACCTGGTGCAGTGCCGATGTTTTGGATTACAGCTTCCATCGGCCTCTGCCAGCTTCTTGGCAAAGTCATGGGAGGATATAGAGTCTGCCTTGCCTGCCCTCCCTGCCTGCTTCTAGCTAGCCTGCTCCCCTCAGGTGCAGTGAAGGATGCTGTCCTATTGTCAATGTTGAAGTAAGGCTCAGCTGCCAGCTTCCTCAGGACCCCAGGAGAGACTCTCATCCAGGAGAACCAGGGCATTCTGCCTCAATGTCCTTGCCCTAGGTAGTCTCAAGTCTGGGATTTCTGTGCCTTTCCACCATAGCACCAGGGGGCTATGTAAACCTAGCTTGCAGGAGCTCCCTCCATGGCGTTATCCAACAGAGCTTGAGGGGACCACCTAAGGATAGCCTCTGCCAGAGAGGCACGTACTCAAAACCTCCTCCATCTCTGCAGAGGAGCTTATTTAAATGCCCAGCACATCTCCTGGGTCTTGACTGGACATCTCCCTCCCTCTCTGTTAGACTCCCTGCCTCACCACCCTGAGGGACAACAACTCGGCTCCTTCCTTCCTCTCAGGCAGGTGAATGCCTTGCCCCTTCTCCCACTGGTGGAGCCTCTAAGGGGTGTTCAGCTGCGGTCTCCCCAGGAGTCAAAGCTTGGTTGGTTTCTGGTGGCACAGATCAGGACCTGCTCAAAGGGCCAGGTGCCAGCAATGGACCAGAAGATTCCTAGCGCCTGGTGGTGTGTTTGTAGGCAAAGAGGTGCTTTTCAGCTCTTTCCAAGCTCTTTTGGTGTTCCACAAGTCTCAACTGAGAAAACTTTCCTTTGTTTATCGTACAGCGTACGTTTCGCCCCGTCTTCTAGAGAGCATTCTTTTATTTACAACATTTCTATCCCATGTTTTGCAGCGCTACATCCTCGCAAGGCAGCTTCCAGGAATAGTGGAGAATAATACAATAAAAGTGGAAACGAAACACTCAACACTCAACCCTGTGAGGCCAGCATAGGACATCAAACAAGAGAGGTTAATTGGGGAAGGCTAAGCAAGACAAATAGGCCTTAAATGAGCTCATTTAAAAGCAACCAGAGATGTTCTGTATGTTTTTGTTAGAAGTAAATTCCGTGTCTGTACAGCAGCTTTCTCTGATCTGCTGGGCCCCCCATATGTTTCGGACTACAACATCCATCATCCCCAGTTCTCAAGGATGATGGGATTTGTAGTCCAAGACATCTGGAAGAAACCAGGCTGGGGAAAGCTGGTGTACGGTGATGCTGTTTTCATCAAACCACCGGTCTTACCTTTGAACCCGAAAAGCAAATGCTTCAAGGGCCTTAGGAAACTCTTCACTGTATTCACAAAACAGTCCCAGAGAGAACACTGACCCGAACACGAACTAAAGCAGCAACTACACATCTTGGCAGCTTCCTGGATTCACCTGCTTTGGAGAAATGGGGGTGAAATGTATCACTGCGGCCCTAAGACAGACAAGGTGCAAAAAGGCCTCCCTAGAATCCCCTGCTATGTTAACTAGCCTTGTATCTTTGTGTTTAACGGAAGGCCTGCATGCTCAAATGAAGCCATCACTTCACCTGTGTGCTGGGAAAAGCTTCACTTGGTTTCTTTCTGCCTATGGGCTGCTGTTTGATGTACAGGGGCTGAGCTGTTAAAAAGTCGACCAGGCTCTTTTTCACCTTACCTCTTCCATAACACCCATGCGCTGGTGTATTGATTTGATAGAGAGCAAGGGAGACAAGCTGACCCTGCTAAACTTTGCTCCGCTTCAGAAGTTTTTGCCCTCTAATTTTTGTGATTGGGAAATGCCTCTTAAAAGTGATCTTCAGTCCAAGTACATCGTTTACACGGGGACCATTTAAGGCGAACAGCTCATCCTATGTGTCTTTGCTCAGAATTAAGCCTGGCAGGGTTCAGTAGGGCTTACTCGACTGGAGCCTAAATCAGGGGTCAGCAACCTTTTAATAATAATAATAATAATAATAATAATTTATTTGTACCCCGCCCATCTGGCTGGGTTTCCCCAGCCACTCTGGGCGGCTTCCACAGAAACCAAAAATACACTAAAATCATACATTAAAAACTTTCAGCTATGGGCCAGTCCATCATCCCTCAGACCTTGTGGACAGCCAGACTATATTTTGAAAAAAAAAATAAAAATGAACAAATTCCTATGCCCCACAAATAACCCAGAGATGCATTTTAAATAAAAGGACACATTCCACTCATGTAAAAACATGCTGATTCCCAGACCGTCCATGGGCAGGATTGAGAAGGCGGTTGGGCCGTATCCGGCCCCCGGGCCTTAGGTTGCCTACCCCTGGCCTAAATCAACCCAAATATAATGTTAAATGTTGATTTGAGCGGTTCAAGGAAAAATGGTGACCTGTTCTTTGCTAAATAAATAATAAACCAATCCCACGGTCCTGAATTCGCAGAGGAAAAAGCCTGTGGATATAAAGGTACATATTTTTCTTCTCTGCACACAGAGGAGCATGAGAAATAAATCAATCTTCATCACTTCCCCTGCTTCTGTTGTTACGGCATGAGTGCACAAGTTGCTGCGGCCGAGGTATGCAAAAGTTCCCGCAGCAACGCATCATCTGTGAATTCAGATATGCAGGAAACCCTGGCATCTACAAAAAGCTCTCCCAGTAAGATACAGATTCAAGCCTTTAATGAACTTCTGCGTTTCTTGGATAGAGCAGGGAGCAGGGGTGGGGGAAGAGAGAGAGAACCTGTCTGTCTGTGGCTGTCATGATACCATGTTTTTTTTAAAAAAAAGGAAAAATCCGAGAATAAAAACATGGGACTGTACTGCAAATTGTGTATTATAATAACATTAGTACAGTAATGTTATCATAATACACAATCGGTAGTATAGTTTAAAATAAAGTGATAAAATGAAACAGCCGGAAAGAGATACATGTGGCTATCGCAGAGGCTTTGTGATACAGCCCACTGGAGACCAGAAGACCTTAATGTTCAGTCCAGAAACTAAATGTATTCTTTCCCATTAGTCTGGTTTTTTTTAAAAAAAATTCATTAAACTATTTCTAAACCGCCCACTCGCATAAAATGTCAAGACAGACTACAACAACGTATGCAGGTGCAAGAAAACATAAGGTACCATTTTTTTAAAAAAAAAATGATCGTAAGAAATGGCTGGCTCTTTAGGGGAAAATTTAAACAACTGAATAGGCCTGCCAAGAGATGTATGAAAGTTAGCAACAAGGACTCCTGGCCTGCCAAATCTCAGCCAGAAGAGGATTTCCACAGCATGTGAGTGGAGAAGCTAAATGCCTGACTTCTAGCTGAAGTCAGTCGGGCTTCTGAAACATGGGGGACAACCAACTAATCATAGAATTATAGAGCAGGAAAGGATCGGAGGGGTCATCTAGTCCAACCCCCTGCAATGCAGGAATCTTTTGCCCAACATGGGGCTCCAACCCACATCCCTGAGATTAAGAGTCTTTCTACTAGTGAATAAAGAGGTTCCTACTTACAAGGCAGTGATGCTTCTCCTGTCCTGGATGTCTTCTCCCGGAGATGTTCTGTTCCTCTGGGAAATTCAGGTGGCTTTATGTACCCAAGGTCTCAGGTCTTCCAGTCCTGAATCGGCCAGTCACGTGCCCACCAGCGAGGTTAGTCACGAGTTCTTCACATAGCCTTGGAAGTTTTCCCTGCCCTGTACGGTGCTCTATAAACCTTTAAGTGTTTAATTGAGAGTAGTTGAGAGACAAATGCAGGAAACAGTCTAGTTCAGGAAAAGGGCTTCCCTGTCCTGAACATGTCACCCATTAGCCAGATTTGGGGAGATAAGACACACATGGATATTAAGCACAAGCTCACGTTGGCCCCATAAATAAAATGCAGGGCTCTGCGGCAAATAGCCTGTGTCACAACTGCAGTGCCCTCAAGATATCGCAAAGTAATTGCTGCCTTTGGTCCCTGGAGGCAGTTGCCTTGAAAATAAGGGAAGGGAAAAAAGAGATCATGACTAGGCAAGCAGAGAGGTTCATCTGCCTTGGACACGGTTTAAAGTGGGCAAATGTAAGCCTCCAGGGACATGTCCACTCTTGGTTCTCAAACTTGGTTCTCAAACTTAATCCGTTCCAGAAGTCCGTTTGACTTCCAAAATGTTCAAAAACCAAGGCGCAGCTTCTGCTTGGTGCAGGCACCCGGGAAACAGTAGTCAACAGCCGCATCGGACGTTTGGCTTCCCAAAAACGTTCGAAAACTGGAACACTTACTTCTGGGTTTTTGGTGCTTGGGAACCAAGGCGTTTGAGAACCAAGGTACCACTGTATAGCTGTTAATCCGCTCCCCTCCCCCTTTGAATTCAACCAGAGTAGTCCACCCCTGCTTGTATTTGAATTTCGTGGAATCACAGAATCAAAGAATCACTGTAGAGTTGGAAGAGACCATGAGGGCAATGCAGGAAGCTTTTGCCCAACACGGGGCTCAAACCCACAACCCTGAGATTAAGAGGCCCATGATCTACTGACTGAACTACAAAGGAGAAATTTTGGTGTTTCCAGGAGGCATGCTGTGTTTGCCCTCACCTTCTAAGTTGTTGATACTATAATGCCAATTAATTACCAACACATACACAGATAGCTGTGCACGCTTCTTCTTCTTCTTCTTCTTCTTCTTCTTCTTCTTCTTCTTCTTCTCCCCCACCGCCGCCCCACAGGAAATGCACAAAACCACACAGCTGGGCAGTTGCAAATTTGCTCGTGCTGTTTTCTGGTTTTGTGCAAATCTGATGGATCAATATAAGGGGATAAGGTCCTTTCAGGAGTGCTCCAGAAACAGGAAGTCTGGAAATTAAATAAAAGCAACTGTAAATTCTCGGTGCACAATTTTCAGTTTGCTGCTCAATTTATCTGGTGCAGATTTTTTAAAAAAATGTGGTTTGCTTGTACCTTTTCTGGTTTTGTGCAAATCTGAGAGATGAAAAGGAGGACACACGGGCACACACAAACCTATACACACACACATATTGCTACATGAAACATTAAAAACTTCCCTATACAGGGCTGCCTTCAGACATCTTCTAAAAGTTGTATAGTTTCTGTTGTATCTGTTTGACTTCTGAAGGGAGGGTATTCCACAGGGAGGGCGCCATTACCAAAAAGGCCTTCTGCCTGGTTCCGTGTAACTTCGCTTCTCGTAGTGAGGAAACTGTCAGAAGGCCCTCGGAGCTGGACCTCAGTATCCTGGCTGAACGATGGGGGTGGAGACGCTCCTTCAGGTATACTGGGTCGAGGCTGTTTAGGGCTTTAAAGGTCAGCACCAACACTTTGAATTGAGCTCGGAAACGTACTGGGAGCCAATGTAGCTCTTTCAGGACTGGTGTTATATGGTCTCGGTGGCCACTCCCAGTCACCAGTCTAGCTGCCACATTCTGGATTAGCTGTACAGTAGTACCTCGGGTTACAGACGCTTCAGGTTACAGACTCCGCTAACCCAGAAGTAGTACCTCAGGTTAAGAACTTTGCTTCAGGATGAGAACAGAAATCATGTGGCAGCAGCACGGCAGCAGCAGGAGGCCCCATGAGCTAAAGTGGTATCTCAGGTTAAGAACAGTTTCAGGTTAAGAACGGACCTCCAGAACGAATTAAGTACTTAACCCGAGGTACCACTGTAGTTTCCGAGTCACCTTCCAAGGTAGCCCCACGTAGAGCATAGGGAAAATAAATGAAAACACTGAGGAAGAGACTGGGTGTAGCAGAAATTGATCCATTTACCCCAAAACACTTAAACAAATTGTGTGAGGCCCAAATGGAGAGGTTTGGAGCCTGGTTTTCCCCATCTGACTGGATTTATAGGGGGAAAGCATTGAGGCTGGTGTTGACGGACATTGCAAAATGTGGACGATGCAAATTAAATGGGAACACAAACAGCTGGAAACACACAGTAAACTCCAGGGTGGATGAGCCCCAGGACTCTCTGTTTGGTCTCGGGGAGTCTCCCCAGGCCGCAACTCCTCTCATGTCTCACCCCTCCCTTGTCCTGCTTTGCACCCTCCTTGGGGGTTTGTACCTGCCTGGAATGTGTCCTTGGACTCTGAAAATGCCTCTTGCTTGTCTGGGTGGGAAATGCAGAGGTGTGTGAGTGTGAGTAACTAGCTTTCTGTGCGAAGGTAAAATTCGGATGAGTTGCTCCGCCCACTTTTGCCTCTGGCCCCGCCCACCACTGCCGCGTGGCTCTTGCAAGGTTGCCAAGGCAGAAATGTGGCATTCGGCCTGCAAAAATGTACCCCCACAACACAAATGCTTAAATACACAACACCCTAACCAGGCTTCCCTGATAAAGGAAGCTTTGAGAGCTAGAGGGCTGCATCTCACTCATACACAGAAGCCCTTACATAACCTCGGCTTCCTTACATTTTTGGCTCCTTAACCTGCTAAACCTCGCCAGCCAAAAACACCTACTGCAGCAACCTTTAATTTGCAAACAGACGTTCTTAATGGGAACTGAAATATTACATGCCTCCCTCCGTATTCATAATCGTTGCTGCAAGAGAACTAATGACATTTTTTTTATCATACGTACAACCACACTTCTTCCGATTCTAATCATTACAACCTACTGAGGCAGCTTAACAGAACCATTTAAGTGCAGGGATTAGTTATTTAGCACCACAGCAACAGCTATAAATTTGTAGCTTTACTTTGCAATCTGTCACACCACTGTATTTTTTTACCTCAGCAGCTGGTGACATCACATCTCAGCGACAACGCACCTCACTTCACTCTCCTTTACAGTTGGGCTTGTCGCCTTTTCAACAATAATCTCAGCTAGGATTACCAAAAGACCCTGTAGAAATGTTTTGTCTGTGGTTCATCTCACCTGCTCTATTAGTCAGGGCGCAATGGCATCATGCAAATTATTTTAGCATCCACCCCTTTAATGTACATATACATAATTTTATTTGTACAGTGGTACCTCGGGTTAAGTACTTAATTTGTTCCAGAGGTCCGTTCTTAACCTGAAACTGTTCTTAATCTGAAGCACCACTTTAGCTAATGGGGCCTCCTGCTGCTGCCACACTGCTAGAGCACAATTTCTGTTCTCATCCTGAAGCAACGTTCTTAAACCGAGGTAATATTTCTGGGTTAGCGGAGTCTGTAACCTGAAGCGTATGTAACCTGAAGCGTATGTAACTCAAGGTACCACTGTATGTACCTTTCCACAGTTCAAACCATGCTCAAGGCGGCTTACAACATCAAAAAATATGTAAAAGGTAAAGGTAAAGGACCCCTGGATGGTTAGGTCCAATCAAAGGCGACTATGGGGTTGTGGTGCTCATCTTGCTTTCAGGCCAAGGGAGCCAGCGTTTGTCCACAGACAGCTTTCCGGGTCATGTGGCCAGCAGGAGTAAACCACTTCTGACATAATGGGACACCATGGCGGAAACCAGAGTGCACGGAAATGTCATTTACCTTCCCGCCACAGTGGTACCTATTTATCTACTTGCACTGGCGTGCTTTTGAACTGCTAGGTTGGCAGGAGCTGGGACAGGGCAACGGGAGCTCATCCCGTCATGGGGATTCGAACTGCTGATCTTCTGATCAGCAAGCCCAAGAGGCTCAGTCGTTTAGACCACAGCGCCACCCGCATCCCTTTACCTGAAAAAATATGTAACTATAACAAAACAAAAGTAGTCGTAATAAATGAACCATGAAAAAATACACAACCAGACTGAACACTTTCCACAGAAATCACAAGATCGGAAATAAACATACAAAAAACAACAACAGGAACAACATCCCCAGCCAACCCCCTAGATTGAACACAAATCTCTTGCTATGCCTTCACCCTAACTTTCTGGGGGTATGTTGCCACCCTCTGGGCCTCTTGTGGGGGAGCCACATGAAGAAGGGCCTCAGATGATGGTTGAGAGTCCAAATTGGTTCATATGTAGAGACGTGGCCCTTTAGAGCTCAAAAACAGCTCTTTGAATCGCACCTGGAAACTAATTGGCAGCCAATGCAGTCGGACCAGGATCGGTGTAATAGGCTCAGACCATCTTGCTCTGGTGAGCAACCTGGCCTCCGAATTCTGCACCAGCTGAAGTTTCCATACTGTTTTTAGAGGCAGTCCCATGTATAATATGTTGCAGTAATCTAACCTAGAGGTTACCAGAGCATAGACTACAGTAGATAGGCTATCCCTGTCCAGATAGGGGCATAGATAAGCCACCAACCGAAGCTGATGGAAGGCACTCCATGCCACCAAGGCCACCTGAGCCTCAAGTGACAGCAACAGATCCAGGAGTAACTGTTGAGATTTCCATTCCACCTTAAGGAGCAGACGTGTGGAACTGTTGCGTGTCACATGTCTGTTTACATTCCAGCACAGCTTGTTGGGAACTTCTGTTGTGTATTGCTTTTGCTTTTCCCTTCTCTCTGAGACGACGAGAGAGAGATGTTTCTTTGTCCTGATTTATGATTAATAAATATGTAGTTGTAGTATGCATCCACAAGCCTTGCACCTATTCTGTGTGCACAATTCGATCTGCTGATAGTGTGCCCTGGCTTTGAAGCCCGGGTCGCTGATTTACGTCAGGGCAGAGGCTGATGGTCTTCTCAGCAGGATGGCTGGAAGGGGATGGGCCAGCTGGAGGTAGCAAGCTGGCCTCCCGGCCCTCTGCATGTTGACAGTAACACCACCCACCCATACTTCTGTGTGAACCCCATAAGGCCTCGGGGAAGTTGCGCAGAAGCATTTTCTAGCCCTAGGGCCACATTCTTTCATGGCAAGCTTCTGGGGGCCACGTGGTAGTTGTGGGTGGAGCCTGGGGCAATTGCTCCTGCTTTTGGTTGGACACTGTTTGGAGTAGGCAGTCTTTGGTCTGAACCAGCCAGGGCTCTGCATATGTGCTTAAAAACCTTTGCACAAGTTTCATCTACTTCTGCGTGGCAGCAGCTTTCAATGACGGGAATCAGTGTGATTGTTGCTTACCAGTTTGCATGGGCAAATTATGCTGCACAAACGATCACTGAGTCACTGGGTATAACTCATGGGCTCAGCCCATCTGATTCTTCTCACAGAGGAAACCAGGCTGTTGCAGACGAGGAATCTATTACAAAGAAAGGAGCAGAGATTGTCTAAGAAAAGTTTGCAGTGTTTCCTTCCAAATCAACGGGGCAGTCACAGTTACGTCAATTTAATATGGATAGAATGGGATGCACATCTTTAAATTTCACTCCTGCCTTTTCCCTCAAGTGCTTAGGCCAAATTACCTCCTCTTCTATCGCTGAGAACTTTCAGTCCCCGCCGCTTAGGCATTTAACAGTTGGGTGCCTAAATTAAATCCACTATAGATTATTTCTTTCAGCATTTAATGACCCGCGGATTAAATCTATCGATATATATAATCCCTTCACCATTTACAAATCCATTACTCACAAGGAAAGGAAATCCTCATGATAGCTACTAATTAGCCAAGCTGTTGTGCGATGCTATTTTGTCACAAAAATAGCAACAGCCACCGGGAAGCTGGGATCTGGGGTGTAACAGTGCATCCAATACAGTGGTACCTCAGGTTACATACGCTTCAGGTTACATATGCTTCAGGTTATACGCTTCAGGATACATACGCTTCAGGTTACAGACTCCGCTAACCCAGATATAGTACTTTGGGTTGAGAACTTTACCTCAGGATGAGAATGGAAATCGTGCGGTGACAGCGGGAGGCCTCATTAGCTAAAGTGGTACCTCAGGTTAAGAACGGTTTCAGGTTAAGAACGGACCTCTGGAACGAATTAAGTACTTAACCCGAGGTACCAACGTATATTCAATCCACTGTGTGCGGCAATGTAAACTTCAAATATCCCTATTTATACAATCCTTGGGCCCCTCCAAACTGGTGTCTTTTCACAGGTATATTCTGAAACCTGTCATTGATGCAACTGTAGTGCAATGCAAGCAGATTTATACTGGACTGTCCACACGACATTCTTTTTTTATTAGCTGTTCTGCAATGCTTCCCCAATGCTACCACGTTATTGCAATCTGGAGGGGACAATCTTGCACGGTAGTGCAGTGAACGTGGGGCAAAAATTAAAATAAACTGGAATATTTGCGGTATAAAAAGTTGCAGGATTTCAGCAGGATGTCTGATCGGAAAAGAAGCAGAATGCCTGCCCCAGACCTTTTGCAGGTGCAAACACTATTGAAAGTGAGATCACGGATAACCGCCAAGAGCGCAAATAATATTAAGAGTGCAAATAATAATGAAAGTGCATGAAATTCAGGAACCAGGTTGCTCACCGGAGCAAGACGGTTTGAGCATATTACACCAATCCCTGGTCCAACTGCACTGGCTACCAATTAGTTTCTGGGCCCAATTCAAAGTGCTGGTTTTGACCTATAAAGCCTTGAAAGGTTCAGGACCACAAGACCTCAAGGACCGCCTCATTCCATATAAACCTTCCTGGACCCTGAGATCATCTTCTGAGGCCTTCTCTGCAGTGGCTCCCCATCTGTGGAATGCTCTCCCCAGAGAAGTTCGGCTGGTGCCTTCATTATACACCTTTAGGCACCAGGCAAAAATGTTCCTCTCTAACCAGGCCTTTGGGTGACTTGATTGACATCCTATGCCCTTTTAAAAGGTTTTTGTTGTGGAGGGGGGGTTATTGGGTTGTCATTTATATTTTTATTATGTATTTTGTGGTTTTATATCTTGATTTTATTCTGTGAACCGCCCTGAGACCCCTGGGTATAGGGAGGTATATAAATTCAAATAATAATAATAATAATAATAATGGTCAGGAGAGCTTCTACCCCCCCCATCTTCCTGTCTTTTGCCCCATTCTCTGTCTTTTGCCCCTATTTTTGGCTTTTGGGGATGCTTTTGGGGTCCCTTACCTTTTCCGCCCCAATCTGGCCACAGTGATCCATGTGATGGTCACCTCCAGGCGTGACTACTGTAATTCGCTCTACATGGGGCTGCCCTTGAAGCTGTCCCAGAAACTCCAGCAGATGCAGAATGATGCAGCGAGGCTCCTTACGGGGTCCCTGCCATCGGAGCATGTTCACCCAGTGCTTTACCAGTTGCACTGGATCCCAGTGGAGTATTGGGTCAAGTTTA